CAAATGGATTTTGTTCACTCTGTCGTTCTCTTCCTCATCATTCCAGGAGCGAAAAACCAAGTAGTTGTGTGTCCTTTTCTCAATCCCACCCAGTGGAAGGCCTAGCAGCGCAGAGACCACAGGCAGAGGTCAGAGGTCAGGAGGCTACTCATCGAGTCCCGGAGAGGGCCTCGCTCTTACAGACCCAGGTTCTCAAAGTAATGGCAGTGGGACAGGCACAGTCAATGTCTTACTTTAGAGGCTTGCAAACCTAGATGCACAATACCACAGCCTGGGGTCCTGTCAAGGCCTAGGTAAGATGAAATCCCCAATGCAAGCCACTGCTCACAATGTCCGAGTACTATTTGTTTTAAGCATGCTTCACTAGGGCTCGTGTATATAGCTACAGATAAACTACATTGGTCAATCTGTCACATGACATTGCAAATAAAAGGCAACGGACTTATGGAGGTGGTTTTAGCAGTGGTGTGCCTGCTTAGTGCGCAGAATGTCAGTCTTAGCGCAGAACCCGGTCTAGACTACAAAGAAAAACCAGTATCACAATAAGATCATGTACGTATCAGTTACATAACATCACAGAAAAACGTAAAAGCTTCTCTGTCTACCCTCAAACAGCCTGGCTGTAGCAGGGTCTATGCCAGGTTTACTTATGGCCTTGTGACCTGCGTGGAGAAGGCAGGCTCAGCTAGGAAGACGTTCAACAAAACTTTGTCTGTCCAACAAGCATTTTTGTATTCCTTTATAAAAAAAATACATTTCAAGGTCATTATGAACTTGTTGTTGACAGGGAAGGAGATAAAAATATAACAGAAAGCCAGGGCCCTTCCCTCACTTAATCAGCACTGAGTCCAGTGCTCAACAACACCCTTCCCCAACCTTCCTCAACCTTTTAATACAGTTCCTCATGTTTCGGGTACCCCCAACCATAAAATTATTTTCATTGTTATTTGTAACTAATTTTTCCACTGCTATAAATCATAATGTAAATATCTGTGTTTTCTAATAGTCTTAGGTGACCCCTGGGAAAGGGTCATTCAGCCCCAAAGTGGTCATGACCCACAGCTCGAGAGCTAGGCTCAGCAACAAGAATGCTCAGATTCTAACCCAGTACTCCCTTCTCACACTACGGAGCAGGTGGAGCCTCTGAAGAACAAGACTTGCTTCCTCACTCACAGGCTTAAAGCCAATCAACCATCAGCATGGAGGCATGTATGGTGTCCAAGGCTGTGGAGACACTTCTGTACAGAGGAGTGTGAACAGACCACACGGATTCACAGCCTCATAAAACTAAAGGGGGAAAAGGCAGCTATAGCTTAAAGAAACCAGGTCAGGTCTAATGAGAAGCAAGGCAGATTTTTCCTTTCCTATTAGCCTGCTTGGATTGCTTGCTTTTCCAGAGAATCTGTTATCATAGCGTCCTTTGTTCAAAAGGATGGATAAGGAGTTAGGAAATGAATAAGGAAATAGGCAGCAACCCATCAGATGATTTTCCCCCTTGCTTGGAAATAGAAATCATTAGTTTCTGTAGAATCACCTACAGGGCAAAATTCCTTCATTCTCTGCAGGAGGAAAGGGTTAAGTAGAAGCAGCACCCCAGTGTGCAGCAGGGCAGCCTGGGCTCACACCTGTCCTCCCCTCCCCTCCCCCAGCTCCTCCACTCAGAGCTTCTTTGTAATTCCCTGGCTAGGAATGCCCAGGGATGTCTGTCCTACTTCTGGGCAGATGAAAGGTAGAGCTGCAGAAAATGCTGGAATTTTCTCTAACATTTCTGAATGTTTCAAGTCAGAACCTGAACTGTGAAAGAAAAGAAAGTCTTTGAAAACAGCTTCAATCACTTCCCACAATCACAAACAAATAGCCAAAGGCTGCACTCAGTTCTTTTTTTCTACCTACAAGAATGAAAGAGTATGTGCAAAAGAAAAAGAATGTTAAAAATTATATTCCAATGGATTTCACTGCCGCTTGCTATCTGGGTGCACTATTACTAATTCCTAAATAGAAGGGTGTTTACCATAGATTGATGAAGAATCCAAAGCTGCCTGAAAAACAAGACCCAGGTGCTTAGTGCTTTGTGTGTTCCTCACCTGCATTCTCTATTCTTTTTTGGTAAAAGTATAAAAACTAAATTCACCTCTTCATTCATCCATTCACTCAGTCACTCCACACACATCACTGGTCTCTTATGACTGGTGTTACCAGACAGGTAAGATATGCAGAATCATGAAATCACTTTGGTGATTGTATAAGGATCAAATTATTTAGAAAAATCGTTAAGTAGATTGCCTTTAAGCATCTCTAAAATTTTGAAACTCAGCTTGATTTGGTAATAGAATAGTGCATGAATTGTTGAGGTTTTTCTTTTCTATTACTGATTTAAGTAACAAGAGAAATAAAAGCCTTCTCTGGGAACCCTGGCATCCTCTTCCCTGCTCTATCCATTGCGGTCAACAGCTTCCATTTCAGTCTAACACCAGGGGATCATCAAGCCAATGGGTCCCAGGAATCGCTGGAGCCTACTGTCAGGGCTAGGGCTGGTACACACATTTCCACATGTAGGTCTCCCCTGGAGAAAGGTTGAACCATTTCCTGTTTGGTTCTTCTTCCAGCTTATGGGTAAAGGAATGAAGGAAGTCAGAACAGCTCATTCAGGCTTCCAGAGATGTCCACCTCTTTCTTTCCTATGCCATTTCCCCCTCAGCAGCACCAGGGCTATGTGTAGGGGCTACCATATGGCAACACGGGCCCCATATGGCTCCATCTCACAGAGAGATTGTGAGAACATAAAGATGCTGCTGTGTACTTTTATGGCAGCCCCTTCTCATTCCCCCCATCTGTCCTCCAGATGGCTGCTGCACCTCTAGTAGGCTCTCATACACGAGTCTCTACCATGAGGCACTGCCCAGCTGACCTAGGTGTCCTCACCTGTCAGTGACAAGGGACCTCCAGTACTTTCAAAACTCAGTATATTTAGTATTCAAACTAGAACAGACCATTTGAATATATGTATTTTATATTTATATATTTAAACTTATCAAGAAAACCCACATGGTCATTCTCTCCTTGAAGTTTCAGAGAGCCCCATTGCCCCATAAGATCCTCTCATAGGCATACATCAATCACTTTCTCCAAAACTGAATTTTTCATTTTCATGAAATTCTCTTTTGATGAGAAGAAAAGTTATTACTGCATACTTTTTCAAATGTCTTTACAAAATTTTGAAGAAGCACATGTGTCCACGTGTCCTTCACTGAAATTGAATAAATGAGCAAGAAATCAGGTGACACCCACTCAGACAAGCCCCTTCCTGAACCACCTATGTTAGCGCTCAAGGGTCTAGCCACTGTATCCTGCACCTCTTTGTTTTTAGGTGTTTGTCTGAAGAGGCATATGCGACCCTATGCTCAGTATAGCTGAGAGGAAAGCAGAAATAAATGTCACTAGAGAATATGCATATTCCATTAAAAAAAAAAAGGTGACAGTCATCTCCAGTACCAAGTGCTGAGTCTGTTAGCGAGCCCCTGGACAGGCTGCAGTGTCACTGAGAAGGAGAGCACTTCCTGGTCTGCTGGAGGCTCTGGGTTTCATCCCCAGAAGCACAGGAGATTAAACGAAAGGAATGGACAGACAGAATGAAGTTATAAAGGGGGGAGTAAACAAATCATTGTTAAATAATCTCTGTGCTTGTGGGGTGAAGAAGCAGAAGTCATTTCATCTAAGGCAACCAACACAGGGAGCTCATCTCATGATCACTCTGTAGGCAGAGCATTGGAATGCTGCTCAAAAGCACACAGTGTCGATTTTAGAGATACAAAATAACCCAGTGAGTGCCACAAGGATACTTTTATTTTATTGGGAATAGTTTATTTTGTGTGTCTAAGCAATAACTTATTCTTTCTCAATTGTATGCAAAATAAAAACTTGACTTTAAATTAAACAATGATATCCTAAGATATATGGTTGGGCCACGCAGTTTTTTTCTTTAACTATTCACACATCATTGCTTCTCTTTCTATCCTTTACGAAGTGGCAGACAGAACTACCGGGACACCAGGAAACTTGCTCCTGGGCCGGCATTTCAGTCTCTTCTGTGTACAAAACTCAACCAGTTACTCTGAACTAGCGCAAGCCTTTTCTGGGAGCAATCAATTCACTGCACACTGAGGGTCACAGGTGCCTCTGCGGCAGCGAAATGCGTGGCAGTCATCAGACCAAGTCTCAGCTTCAGGCTGCTGCCAGAGGCCTGCTCACTGGGCTAACTGCTCTGGGCTGACACAGACAGCAAGTGCTGGTTCAGAGAAGCAAGCACTCTTCCTTCTGTGAGAACAGAAATTATGGGTAAGACACCTATCAGATGTAACAGTGTTTCCAAAGGCGTGCAAAGCTAAAAGCTATATGGTCTTTTTCATGCAGAACGAAATGCCAGGACACCTGAGCAATGTGGCTTTGATCTCTGGTCAGGGAAGCAGTGCCACATGGGGCACTCCAACCTGTGCTCTGGGCAAGCAGTTTGTGACCACTTGGGAAGAGGCAGAGGTTGCTGTAGTAGCTGAGGGGCTGCAGGAATTGTTTACATTTGGGCAGGGAAGCTGCTCTCACCACTCAGCATTTCCCGGCAGACCAGGTGAAAGCCCCTTGCAGCCCCCTCCCCTTACAGGGCTTTCCATAGCACAGGAGCTATTGAATACTGGCTTCCTGCCAAGTGGCTTTACGTGAGACTTGGCAAAAATTACCAACCACACACATCTGCCTTCACCTCATTTTCTTTCCACAGCTCCTTCCCAGGCAACAGCTCAAGAACTACATGTGTCCATTTACTGGACTGAAACAAACAGCACAGGCATGGGGAGAGCCACACAAAGCATATGCTTTTCCAGCCATCCTGATTTCCCAAACAGTGGGAATCTCGCCCCTGGGGATACTGACGGGCACCAGCTGCTGTTGCTGTGGGGAGAGGAGACCCCACGCACACACTCCCAACCCTCGCCCCCATTCCAGCTTACCTGTTTCTTTGTGCTGAACCTCTGCCAGGTGCAGGTCATTCAGAAGGTGCTCTAAGATCTTCTCCGGGGTCCCCGACACCACCATGTATCTGTCAGAGAGCAGAGAGTCCACCGAGTCATCCTCAGTGGAAGACTGCGAGCGGCTGCTCCATTCGTCGTCCTCATCTTCCTCGTCGATGTATTTGAAATAAGGCACATCGAAGGTAGGCAAGGGCAGCTGGCGCCCTGAGAGCGCTTCGGAATCTTTCCTCTCTAGATGGGGGTCAAAGACCCGCAGGCGGGAGCTGCCCATTGTGAATGGTGCCTAACAAAGGCATCCCCTAAAGGCTAAAAGATCTTGCCATCCTCGTCCTTTCACAGGGAACTAAGTCCATCTGGCTGCTAAGAGCTCTGCAGTCAGCTAGAACGCTGGAGAGGCGGAGAGAAGAGAGGGAGGGGAGGGAGGGAGAGTAGAGCAGGCAGCAGCAGAGCGAGTGAGTGAGAGGGAGCAGGGAAGGGAAGCAGCGTGCCGGGAAGGAAACCCAGAGCGTGCCTGGGCTGCGGGGACTCTCACCTCGCTTCGCTCTCGCTGTCCGCACTCCCTGTGGTGGGGGCTGGGCCACAGCTTGCTACTTTCTTCAGCACCAGCACACTCTGGCCTTGCTCTTTAACCTGAACCATTGGCACTTCATCATCTTGCTTTAATTGTCGATCAGCGTGATGAATAAGAGAAGGAAAGGAGAAGAGAAAGATTAAAAAGAAGTCAACTAGCTTCACCTCATTTCTTCAAAGAGCTAGAAAGAATTAGTGTGGTCAGGCATCTAACAGTTCAGAATCTAGGCTCAAGGTCTCTGGAAACACAAAAGGCCACGGAGACAGAAGAAAGTGTGTATGTGTGTGTGTGGGGGGGGTTGTGGAACTAGGATTTGAAGAGTTTATTTTTGAAACTACCTTCAGGAACAATTTGATTTGGAGAATAGAAAGTTTAAAGTTTCAAAATGTACAGCATACTACTTGCTTTGAACAGTCTTCTACCTGGCTGATGCTGCCTAAACATCACTAAAATCAGAAAATCACAGCATAACTACTATTAACACTTAGTCAAGGCTTGCTTTAAAAGGTGGGCAAATGGCTAACCATTGCATAGCTCAGGTCAAACCCTGCCACTCTCCCTGGAAGAACACACACACACACACACACACACACATGCAGGGGGAGGGGAGGAACACCCATTGCAGGGCTTTTAAAACCCTGATGCCACGGGCCCCTGCACTGACTTTCTTCATCTCTGTCCCTTTTTAAACAGGCAAGAAGCTTAACCACCATTCATTTCTGCACACACAGCTCCCACAGCACAGGGCCAGTGCCTGACCTGGCTCAGTCAGGGCAAGCTCACTGCTGATCCAGCAGTGTGGGCCCAAGTCTGAGCTATGGACACAAACTTTAGGGCATTTGCTACAAGCGCTCACTGTGCAGTAACCCAGCCCCAGGAATACTGCCAGAAAAAAGAACTATAAAAAGCATATAAGAAAATCCAACTTCTTTATTGCTGATGACTTGAAATAAAATTTAAAAAAAGAATAGAGCAAGAAAAGTTGAGGGCAAGTAGGTTTGCTCTTAAAGATGATATCAACTGTTTGCAAAGGAAGCCTGTGCTGGTGCACTTCTGCAACTGACAAGACCTACCTGCAATTAGGTACAGACTCAAGGGTATCCTGCCGTCCTGCATGGATAAAAGCGCCTTATCCAAATGCCTTGTAATTGCTTCATCAGACCCGTCATGGATATCAGTGTATTTTACTCTTTTTTTTTACAAGACTAGAAAGGCATTGATATCACTGTAACTGCTAAGCAAATCAGCAAATGATTATGATCTCAGCTCCCAATATCTAAGAAAATGTAAATGTAAGTACTACTATTTTTTCTTAAAACCTAATAATATTGGTCATTCTAAACAGCAATATAATTGTGTGATCATCCTTTTTAAATCTCCTACTGGCACATAATTTTGCTATGAAGAACCGGCGTATTATGTTTCAGCAAGGTCAGACACACGGTGTCTGTGGCAATTAATGCTGGATATTCATTGTTCAGCTCCCCAAGGAGGCCAGTGTGACTCCTGTAACATGAATACCAATGTGTAATTGCTATCGCTCATTTCTCCAAGCAGTTCTTTTGTTATCCATGCCGGCGAAGTGGACCAAAGTGGCTGGAGAGAGGGGCATATTTGGAGCAAAATAGGGGGGTGGAGAACAGAAGAAGGTTGGGATGAGATACATTGAATAAGGCAATTCTATTATTTGAGAGAACAGATATGAAAAGACAAAAATCTTTCCGTGGCTTCCTCTAATCGTCAGACAATATTCATTTTATATGAGCTGCTGTCATTCTGAAGTACATTTTACATCCTATGTGCACATGATCTATGGCATTATTAACTTCTGCAGGCTGCACACATCCATATGGATGGGCAGGGTTTCTCTAATGTCCGTGTAACTGATATGCACTACATGGCTGTGCACACAGCAGTCATACTTTGCTGGGCAGGAGAATAGCTGAATCAGATTGATTTGCTATCAATAGCATCTTATGTCATTCTGATAGGTTCCATTTTGAAACCTGTTAAAAATAAAGAAGAGAAAAAGCAGAAAAATCAATGAGTAAGTGGAGATGTAAATTACTGAAACCTGCTGTGAAAACACAAGGATCCTGTGTACTGCAACCATCCATGAAGGAGGGCTAAATTAATGCTTCCTACTATGGGCACCTTTCCCTTATTTCTCTTCCATAAAAAGAGGAAAAATAGCACCATTGAGGTTGTACGTATGAAATTTTAGTTTAGTATTTGGTAGGATAAAATAAGTACAAGGACCAATGATGGAAATATGGTCAATGATAGATTGCCCATGAAACATTAAAACTTCTAATTGACAGTCATTTATGTAACAAATAATGAGGTCCCCTTCGGGTAGGACACCCTGCTGGACACTCAGTGGCAAGCAGAGACAGTAAGGCAAGTCTGCTCTACTCTAGGTTAGCTACCCCATGAAAACCCAAGTCCAGCTTGGTGCACCTTCTAAAGCAGCAGCTTCTCAGCCTTGCCCACGCTGCGGCCCTTCATGCAGCTCCTCATGTTGTGGTGATGCTCAACCGTACAATTATGTTCATTGCTAATTTATAACTGTAACTTTGCTACGGTTATGAATCATAATGTAAACCTCTTGTGTTTTCTGGTGCTCTTAGTCAACTCTTGTGAAATGGTCGTTAGGGATCTTAACCCACAGGCTGAGAACCACTACCCTAAGGTGTTGCTAAGCGCAGGGGACAAGGAAGCAGAAAATATGGGGTTTGGTGGTCAAGGATAACTAAGAGGCCCAAGAGACTGAGAATTCTATTAAACAGGACAAGGATCTACAGAGGGATGATAACTCAGATCAAACAACTAATGTTTTAGTATTGATAGGACAGAGGCCTGTAGATGTTTGCCAGGCAGTGAAAAGGCAAGAGGTGAGCAGAAGCCATAGCCTGGGCACTCTGGAGGCAGAAGGTCACATGTTCAGGCTAACCACAGGTAGAGGAGGAGGGAGGGGGCAGAGAGGGTGAAAAGAATGTTGAACAAAGGAGGAAGGTGGGAGGTGGGTAGAACCTGAGAATTTTAATATGTAGGGCTGTGGCACCCTGAAGGCCTGTGTCCTAGCTAAGGATGGGGGCGGGGTAGGAGCAGAGAACACAGAATCCGCTGGCACAGTGAAGTCGGAGAGATCACATGCAATGGCTTCTATCTCAGTAACAGGTACTGAAGCGGCTTCTGGAGGAGGGCTTTGTGGTGGTTGGAAGCCTGAAGAAGACAGTATTGGGAAAATGACCTCGGGGGTGCAGCAGCGAGGAAAGCAATAGGGAGAGAAGGATCGCCTGGCAGCCTCATGAGCAGCCGAAGCTAGAATACCCACTCGTGCTTTTATGACCTTCTGCAATAAGGGTTCAGGAGCCTTAGATGAAAACAGTGCCTGGTGAGGCCCATCCAGGGTAAGAGACAGCAAAGAGACAGCAGAAGCCAGGGTGGGGAGAGGACCCAGGGCTCAAACATATTAGGAAAATAGCCGTTCATCACAGAGTGTCTGCCTGGCTCAACGTGAAAACCGAGGGACTGCTGACTAGCTACCACATGGGCCAACAGCAGAGGCTTGAATCAAGGTGACAAAGGTTCACTGCCAACAGTTCTGGGTAGTGAAGACCAGTGGAGGAACAGAGGCCCTGAAGTGACAGGTGTTTTGCGTTGGGTCCTAGGTTTCATATTTAGAGCATATACAATGCTGACAGCTTCCTAAGTGGCTAGTGCATTAAGAGCATCTTTAGTGTAAGTTCTACAGCTTGAGCAGGTCCAGAACTACAAAGGAAGAAGGCAGACCCCTTTCCACACACCCACCTGAATTTATGTTAATGAAATCACATTGGGAAAGTCACCAAATAACCCCACCATAGAAGGCCTGGTTGCCAGGAGAACCAACCACCTGCTCAGAGGGCTGGGGACTCCCGGCCCCCACCCCCACCTCTAAAGGTCTCACTGATCACCAATGGCCAATGAATTCATCAATCATGCCTACACAAAGAAGTCTGCATAAAAATCCCTAAGGGACTTTTCAATGGGCTTCTTGGAAAGTGAATAAGAGTTCATCTACCTGTCCAGAGGGCAGCACATCCCAGCTGCAGAGAAAGAAACTGTTGTACCTGGGACCCTTCCAAACCTTATCCTCTCTATTTCTTTGCTGTTCATTTGTGTCCTTTAAAATATTCCTCTCAATAAACTACTAAACGAGTTTTCCTGGCTTCTGTAGCCACTTTAGAAAATCAATTGAGCCAAAGGGGGAGGTTGTGGAAAACTCCAATTTATAGCCATGGGCAAAACAAACCAGGGATTGTGATTGGCATCAAAATTAGGGGCAGCCTTATAGTGCTCAGTGCCCAGCTTGTGGGCTCTGGTGCTGTTCTCTGGTAGACAGTGTCAGAATCCAGCTGAACTGTGGGTAACTGATCTTGGATGACAAAGAACTGACCATCTTTCTTGTTGCTAAGGGAACCACTCCACCACCCCATGTACATGTGGTCACAAAAGTGGTCCATGTTGTTAGCTGAGTGGTGTTCCCCTCCCCTCATATTTCCAGACTTTGACACTGCCATGTACAGCTGGGTTTGGACATTTTGTTTAAGTGATTCTGTAGGGAATCAACACCAGACAAGGTCCCCAGATGATGCATCAAAACAAAACACATCTATTAGTCATTACATCCGAACAAAGAATGAATATCACTCAACCCACAAAATCCCCAAAGCCTTATCTGTTACCTGCTGTTCTTCAGTGACAGCAGTAGCTTTGCCCTGGTCTGCACTCTCTGAGGGGGAGGATAAGACTTAGTCACAGAATTAGCCTAGTTTCTAGACAGTAATTCAGAGTAAAGCCTCACTTCCTTGGGATCTCTCCCCAAGTCCTCAGAGTACATTCTAGTAACTGTCTCCCCAGAAGGGTCCTCAAGAGCATAAAGTCTCAAGATCCTCACACAACACCAATAAGCCCAATTCAGTCAGCTGCAGGTATGGTCCTCACAGTGGTCTCTGGTCAGAAGGCACTGATGGGGCAATGAGGGCTGCACGCTGCCCTGGCATTGACAGGGAGTGATGGAGGAAAAGCACTCATCATTAAG